ATTAAAGTGTGTAATTAAATGATTATTCCTATATTAATTAATAACATTGTAATTGTATTATATTTTGTGGTTTAGTAATTATATTATTATAATCAACATTTTGCAATCATCGTTACTTTATATTCATTGCAGTCGAGATGAACATACGAGTACATGTAAATATACAGGAGAAATTTTAATAACAATAATTTTTWTTAATGTKTTATGCATTAGTTGGAGCAAACGGTGTAAGTTACTAACAAAAACAATAGACACCCTACGATTTAAAACAAACTACGAATCGGGCTGGTTAAAAATTWAAAAAAAAATTTTAGAAATGCATTATGGTCTGTGACGATCCGTAATAATGTAGTTGTTTTGCCTATCTAAAACGCCGTGTTACCAATGGCATATGAAGTTACTAGAATGGGTTCTACTGACAATAATTATTCTTTGATTTACAGTATATCTACGTTCATAGTGCAAGTTTTTTTTTATTATTACTATCAGTAGAAGGAAACCTCTTATAGTTGTTTATTATTTTGTGTAAATCGAAAATCTAACRCAGTTGGTACTGTTTGGACAGATTTTTTTAACACTTCTTCCCGGAAAATTGTCATTCAAGCTATGGAAAATCAGTAAAATACCATGCACGTTTTCAGCGAATAAACTACCGCTGGATTTAAATATTTACAAACTTTCATCATCATAATTYGTAATTTAAGTGCCTTATAGGATATCTCTTGTTCAATGTTCAAAAGAAAAAAATATAAACCGAATTCAAGCATGGTAAAGTATGTGAATAGCGCGTGTTATTCTCCGTATAATATATTGTGATTGAGCATATTATAAGAGTATAATAACTTAAAAGACGTGTACCTACCAAAAATACGTTACTGCTTACTCGAATTTTCAGAACTCGCTAGGTACCTGTAAATACCAGAAATTGACAATACTGTCATCGGATCATACAGTACGCCACGTTAAGTAATTTTATAGTAGTTTACAATAAGTATTTTTGTATTCCATTTTAAATAATGCGTGTTGTTTCGTGGTCCTCTAAACCACTCTAGATAAATATATGTCCGTGTTGTACCGCAGAGAGTTCTACGTTCTCATAGCTGAAAAATTTGAAGTCACGCCGCCACGAATGATGGCCGAGTGGATGAATAAGGTAAAAAAAAAAATAATAAAAAACTATCAATAAGACTCTGAGCGCCGCCGCTGACGTGGTGGAAGAGGCTAAGGGTAGGTACCACCTGCAGTATATACAATATTATGTAGAATGGCGGTGGGGAGAGAAAAGTGCGAGCGTTGGCGGTGGCGGTGAATAAGAGATTTTGCGAAACTGCACAGGGGAAAGAAAACGCACATACACATACATACTTAGGGGTATATATATAATATATTTCATATACATATATCTATATATTCCATACACATTTMCCCGTAYATGTGCACGCGTGTATACAAGTCAGGGTGGTAGTRTAGTCGAAACGACTAGCGGGGAAKGGATACCTATGGAGGTCAGAAGGAGAGGAGGAGAGTTATGTAGACGAGAGGGTGATACGGTCGAAGGGGCTGATGACGGWGTTGTGGCGTTTGGTGGAGGGGAGGGGCCAGCGCAATTCAATTACACGCCGTTAGCTCATTTAGTATTTAGCTGACGGTTGTCGCCATAGAAACGGGGACGCGCGCAGAATCCACCCCAACCGACAGTGCCCGGGGGGTGCCGTCGCGTGCCTTATAAAAAGCTGATGTCGGCGCTGCGAACGCTCACTTTTGGACTCCAACTACAATGACGAAAACGACGACGAGACGGCGCGGCGTCAGCTTCAAACTCTGTCTGTCTCCGGCCCCGGCTCCGACTTCTAACACTCTACGACGCTCCCAGAATCGACCACGTAAGTAT